TGTATATGTATTAGGATCTATGTTCGAAAAATCAAGTCAAATTAATTGAATAAGAGCCAGGACAATCTTTTTGCACAATCTGACAACGTACCTAGTCATTGATGTTGTCGTGCTTTGGACGTAACATGCTCCTTTAATACTCGTGCTATAAGTGAGGTTATCAACAACAGTCAATGATTCATAGAAGCCAGAAGCAGTGGCGTGCCATGTCTCAGGCCAACACAACCACCAATTGCATGCTCGCAATCTATGATCTGATGGTATGCTGTGAGACATTGAAACGGAAGCCTCGGGGGTAGGAAAGGATTTCTCGAGTACGGTAACTTAACACGAAGCATCAACTGAATCGAATACCATCATCTTCGAAGACTGTATCTTGTTCAACAGAGCGGAAACAATGGAATTCTCCACCAGCTCCTTACTTGTTACCGTTGTACTGAGCCTATGCGTCATTGCCGTGCTCTATCTTTGCCACGTTAACTATATTCTAAAGCAGACGCCAGATGAGGTTCGACGACTTTCTAGCAAGCGCTGGACTCCAGCACTTCTCAGCGAAACATATGAGAAGCTGGAAGAATGTCCGGTTGACTTTTACAAGGATCTTCCACCCAGATTGGACAGAAGATACATTGTGACTGGGGGCAACGGTATGTTGCATCTTTACCATTGCTTCCCATACTGATTGTTGGCAGGTCTGGTTGGTGGCTACATCGTGCTTCAACTCCTGGCCCGTGGAACACCACCAAAATGTATTCGCATTGTCGATATCAGGGAGACCGAGCGTGATGATATGCGAACTGACTTGGCTTCACAAGTCGACTTTGTACAAACAGACATAACCTCAGCAGCAGCTGTTGACCAAGCTTTCACAAAGCCATGGGATCCGGCGATAGCTCACCTACCGCTTACAGTCTTCCACACCGCCGCTATCATCGTCCCCTCGGCCAGGTCAAAACATCTATATAGTTTCCCCGAGGCAGTCAATGTCCAAGGAACTAAGAACGTCTTGGCTGCTGCTCGTGCAGCTGGTGCCAGCATTTTTAGCTCAACCTCATCCGCCTCGATCAGTATCCAGCCTGTGCAGCCGTTCGTCTCACCTTGGGCCTCTGAGCCGCGCAACTTCTGGCAAGTCCTCGACGTTGAGGACTTTTATAAGCCCCTTCGGAGACATGAAGATTACTTTGGGAACTATCCTGCTTCGAAAGCGACAGCAGAAAGACTGGTGTGCGGTGCGAACGATGGGAGCTTTCGGACAGGCTGTATCCGACCTGCAAATGGAGTCTACGGGAATCCTACAGACAACCCTGTGGGCCGCTTACTCTCACGGAGTATCCATCATACGTAAGTTCTTCTACAGTGCTAGGTAGTGGCAATATGTTAACATCGGCCCAGCTGGATTCCGCATGTCGTCCAGAATTTTGCTCACGGCGCAAATGTAGCTGTTGCGCATCTGCATCACGAAGCTGCGCTAGCAAAAGGAGATTGTCCGCAAGCGGGTAGGCCTTTTGTAATTAGCGACATCGGTCCTCCCATCACGTTTGGAGATATCTACATCGCGGTCAGGTTCCTGTCTGTCCATGGTTTGAGAACCATCGTCCTACCGCCGATACTCATGCTTCTCCTATCGATCATGGTCGAGTGGTATATCTTGCTTCCTTACCGGCTCTTGACTCTCAAAAGGATCTTACCAGAGCTCAAGGGTGACATCAAAACGCTTCAGCCTGGAATCTTCTCGATATGTACTCATCTGGTCGCTTCGGACGCTGAAGCTAGGAAACCTGTTTCTGGAGGTGGACTCGGGTATAGAGGGAATGTTACTTCTCTTGAAGGTGTCGTTACGGAGATATTGGAGTGGAATAAGGAGCACTCTAGAGAATCTGAGGGAGGAGTGAGGAAAACATACACAACTTCTGTCTCATTGGCCGAGAGGTTGCAAGAAGTTGGATCAGCTGTACCTCTGTAAGTCAAGAAGCCACTAGGCCTCAAAATAGTTTATCTCGCTGCCACGAGAATAGTATCTTGGGATTCGGTCTCTCAAAGGCTAATTACAATATTCTACTATGTATGAATAAAAACTATGATTTACGGTTGCTGTCGTGCCCCATCAAGATTCATGATTCTGGCATAAACCTGTAGTATCGTATGCAAACATCAAGTCGTGAAATAAATGATTGGTTGACGCTTTTCTTATCTCAAAAGCATTCGTCAAAGAGCCCAGCTCAGGGTAATTTCAAGATCAGTACTTGAATCGAGGCTGATCTGTACCAGCAGCACGTCTGTTCCTCCAAACGTAGTAGAAGTGCATGGCAATACAGCCCACACTCACGAAGAGAAGAAGACCAGCATTGACCCAGTGGCCTGTAGGATAACCCTTGGCGGCTTCATTGGCCTTGTAAATCCAGACACCGACGATCTGTCCTGGAGCACCCATCGAGATGTTGAGAGCAATGGCTAAGCCAATGGCAGCGGTGGAGTGTAGGTTCGATGACAGCCAGCCCAGAAGAGGCGGAATACAGGCGAAGGAGCCACAGGCTGCGATGATGAGACAACCATAACGGGGCTGAGCTGTTAGCAGGGGATACTGACAGAGGGGTGGGTGGACTTACGCTGTAGGAATCGGCTGGAAGGGTCGCAGAAGCGATGAAGCCGATAGCGCCAATCAGGGAGAAGACAGCAGAATGGATGGCGCGACTAAATTTGTAAGTAATGGTTCTCAGACTTTCAGATAACTTGAGTACTCACGCATTGTATTTGTCGGCAGACCATGAAACAAGTAGAGTCACAACATAGGCCGCAGCGTAAGGAGGCACGGTCATCAATTGAGCTCGGAGATCGGCAAACTGAAGAAGATTAGTCGATAGCAACGCTTGTTAAAGGGGAATACATACTCCTAGACCAGCTGTAATGGAGGGTGTGAAAAGCGACAAACTGGAGAATGGAGCAGAAATGCCAAAGTAAATCTGTCCAAGATTAGTCGAAGTCTTCTGCCGGCAACCGCAAATGTCACAACACATACCAAGTAATGGCACCAAAGTCTCCATTCGAAAATCGTCGACTTGGCGTCCTCCCATGTCATAGACTTGCTCTCACCATGCGATCCTTGCTCCGCCAGTCGGTAAGCTGCGGCATCCTTCTCTTCGGCAGAGAGCCAGCTTGCGGACTCGGGGAAATCGGGAAGACAAAACCAGACCATGATTGACGATAAAACGGAAGGAATGCCTTCGAGAATGAAGAGCCATCGCCAGCCGGAAAGTCCGTGAACTTGGTTCATGTGACCGACGCCATATGCGATAGCACCGCCGAAGGCACCGGCCAGAGTAGCTGATGCAAGAATGGTGGCGACTCGGACTGATCGTTCTTCAGGCTTATACCAGAAGGTGAGATAGTAAACAAGACCGGGAAAGAGACCTGAACATGTTAGATGAAAGGCGACTCAGAGTCAGCATCAGGAGACTCACCAGCTTCGAAAACACCCAGCAAGAAGCGAAGAACAGTCACCACAGCATAACTATGCGCAGCACCAAGACAAATAGTAATTGTTCCCCAAGCAAACATGAGGAAAGCAATCCACCTACTAGGCTTCATTTTCTTGAGGAAATAATTAGATGGAACTTCAAAGAGCGCATACGCGATGAGGAAGATCATGAGCGCAATGGTAAAGTCATAATTGGACATGTTTGTCTCGGAAAGAAGATCATGGCCAGTAGTATGGTTCAGAACCTTGGCATTGCCAATGTTGGAGCGATCCAAGTAACATAGCAGATAGATTCCCGCTGCCAAGGGAATGATACGCGCATCCTGCTTGCGCACGAGAGCCTTCTCAAGAGCTGGATCAACTGCTGTCGTGCTCTCGAGCCGAGAATCGGAGTTCTGCTTGGCAGGTTAGTTGACTGGCGTTTGGAGAACAGGGGATTGGGGTAGTGGTAGTGCACCTTTTCATCACCCATTTCAGGGTTGGCATCAAAATCTGTCCTTGCAGCCATCTTGACCAATACTTTAGGATGTTGATAGGAAGAAAGCCAATTCTTAAGAGAAAACTCTTACTCGAGAGAAGAAGGGAGGAACCAACAGAAAGAGAATTAAGCGAGGTCAAAGGATTCGTCCATCTCATCTCGCGGGATGCAACCGGGGGAGTAAAGTGTCCCCGCCTCTAACGTTACTGCACCCAACACTTGACCTGATTCATGTAGTGATCTGCACTTTTTTACGCGGGGTTGGTTTCCTTCGGTGCCGGACTCCGATGCCGAGTGATATTACCGTCGGCCGTTGATTATCAAGTTCAAGCGGTGAGGAACGATAACGGTTTGTTGATTGACTTGGTCAAGACCAGCAAAAGGGAGACAAGAGTTGACGCTTTTCGGGGAGATCAATTACGGGGCCTTTAGCAGTGTGGAGCACTGTAGCCGTCGCTAATTCCCCAACGCCAAGTCGCCTAAATCCCAACGCCGAAAGCTCGGACAAGCAGCCATATTGAGTCCTTTGGGGTTGACCGTCTAGAATGTTACCCTAGACAAGAACTGTGAACTTGGAGTCCGATCTCCCCGGGCTTAACAGATGACAATAGACGGAAACATAGATAATGAGAATCTCGAAAGGTCTTAGTTATTAAAAACATGATTGCCACATCATGCTTTGTCAGTCACTAGCTGTGTTTCACGATAACCCACTGTGAAGGATATCGAGCACATATGACGACGGCACTTCATGAATTTGATGACTTTCATAGCATTCATACTTATATAAACAATTACTCATCAAAACAATCCCGCAAAGAGAGATAAATGATAGGCGGAACAATTACTAGATTCTATAGAGAATGTCTTCCGTCAACATGCCAGGCTATAACGAGGGCTAAAAAGCTTTTAGACATAAGTCTTTGATACAATACTGTTTACGCAAAGAGGAGAAAACAGTATTCAGATACACCGACTCAGTAACAGAAACGAAAAATATAATAATTAGAATTTTCAAAAAGATAACAAAGCAAAAAAGAAGGATCCTAGCAACTACTCGTTTCGATCGAGTGACCTCCGGGTTATGAGCCCGGCTTTGCGTGAGTTAGTAAGGAATTGTACCCTGAGAACTTAGAGATAAACATACCGCGCTTCCACTGCGCCAAGTTGCTTTCTTGGACGTGAAGCGCCGTGATATTTTCATTCATGTAGTCAACACGCTTTTGTGCGTGAGTCGGGGATCCTCAGTGGAGATGTGATGTGCCCTGGGTGGAGCTCAACAACAAATCCGCCGATAGCATGAGTGGATCATGAGCTTCACTTGACTTCCATTCTCCAGGACTACAGAGTGGCTATGTAAACAGTGGTAGAATATCCTTAGATGACACGGTTGGGGGTGGACATTGGGGTCCAGTATCGTGCTTAAATTCCCCTCTTCTTTCTCCTACGACATAAACTTCTCAAGCATAAACAAGATACCAAACACTTGATATAAATGATTGCTTTCACTCTATCACCAAACTAGATTATTGAAAGAAGGCTATTGCTACTCTTGCGGATTGGAAATATGTGGCATTACTTTCCGAGACTGATACCCACCGATTTCCGAAAGGCAATTGTCGCGTGTCCTTATTGTCACTCAGAGTTCTCTTATCCCTTCATTTTCTCATGAAAGATGCACAATGAGATAGGCATCAAGAATGTCTTGTAACTGTTGTTGTTTGGCCACTGTTCCATTGGGAACTGGTCGGTCGGCGGATATTGCTTGGAGCTGCATCAAGGTTAAAGGTTCCACTGCCCTCATTATCCGACAGTCTGCAGGGTCTGGAAAAGGTCGTGCCGTCAGTTAATCCGGTATACCCTGACGATATCCTCTGGGCTCGTGACACAACCAACGCGCTGGGGCTAGGACATCTATCTATTTGAACACCCATGATGCCCGCCCGAGAGCTACACACAGGGCCACTCCGACCAAAGCAGTCGTCAAATGGTCGTCATGGCAGATATCTTCGATAAGAGAATCCAAACTCACTCCGTCGGGTCAACAGCTCCATCCGTTCGGCCATTGGCTTGTGTCACATTAATACTCCCACTTATATGCCTGAATGACAGTTTGATTGGGTCGCTTTCTGCAAGGTGAAGGCGTTTTGCCTAGGGTGACAACCTCGGCTGGGATATTTACCCACTACCCGGCATGGTATCATCGCTATCATGGACTGATATGCTACTTACCAATGCTTGGCTTTTCCTCTGCCCCGCCTAACAGTTCTGTTAAGTGAATATGCCGTATGCTAACGCTTGTCGTATGAGTGATACGGGAACAGAGACGACCTCTACAATTCTGCGCAAATTACGACCAACAGTGCTGATACCTCCAACCCGCATTGTAATTAATCCACGATCGATCGAGTCAGCTCATCATGGTCCACCCGAAAGCCGAAAAGGCGCTCGAAGAGGCCAAGACGCTTGTGGCTCAACTGGAATCATACGATGATAATCTAGTCACCCATCAGGCGGTTCTGAGGCAAACAGAGGCAGTCCGTATTGCCATCCAGTCGCCTATGGACCGGATGAACCATCTGGTGGAGCAAATCAGTTTCGGAGGCGCCTTTCAGACCATCATTGGCACCCGAGCATACAACGCTATGCCCGAGGATGGAAGTTCTATCACTGCTTCAGAGCTGGCTCAAATCACCAATGTGGCTACTACCGTAATTGAGCGCGTCTACCGCGTAGCCATCAATCATGGCGTTTTCGTCGAGACTGCACCTGATACATACGCTCACAATGACCTGTCGCGAATTCTCAACCCAAGGGGTTTGGGATCATTCTTCCTTATCATCACCGAGTTTGGACGAGCTTTTCTTCATCTAGCCGATTACTGCAAGACACACAAGCCAGAAGATGTGTTTGACTTGACCAAGTCTCCAGCTGTATACTCGGTCGGAAAGGAACACCTCGGCAAATCATACTACGAGCTGCTGGAGATGGATCCCGATCCTGAGCGTCGCGAACTCTGGAATGCCAACATGGTTGCTGTCGATGAGCTTATGCCTGTTGTTGGCATGTTTCCGTTCGCATCTCTCAAGGACGAGGTCAAGCAGGACCCTGAGCGGCCCTTTCTGGTTGATATTGGGTCTGGTCGTGGACATTCATGCATCGCGATCAAGAAGGACATTGGCGATGCTTTCGACTCCAAGTTTATCTTGCAAGATCTTCCCGGCGTTATCAGCATGATGGATCCGAAAGACTACCCAGGTTTTGAACTGATGGTATATGATGCATTCAGACCGCAGCCTGTCAAGAGTACGTGTGCTTTGAGACAAGTCCCATTTACCTATTTGTTACACCGTGAGATGGAATAGCTGACTTTGTACGATAGATGCACGTATTTACTTTATGCGTCGTTTCCTCCACGACTTCTACGCCCCAGTCTGTATTGAGTTCGTCAAGAACACCGCATCAGCCATGGGTCCCGACTCTCGTCTCATCATCTGCGACCAGCTCATTCCTGACACTGTCAAAGAGCAGGAGAACGTAAACTTGTATTGGCTTGACTTTGCTCTTCTGTGCATGACAGGACAGGAGAAAAAGAAATCCGAGTTCGAGGAGATCTTTGAGACGGCAGGCTTGGAGCTGGTCAAGATTTATCCATCTTCCTACGGATGCACTGTAATGTTAGAGGCGAGGCTGAAGAGGACTGAGTAGAGCTGTCAGGCATATGTTATAGAGGGGGAACTAGTATTGTTAATTGTGAATTGCTAGTCCGAACGATAGACTATTATGCAACCATCATAGTGAATAGTCATGTACCTGCAATACACTGTTACTGGTCATTGCACACAAAATGCGGCTCTGAGACTACGACTTGGTACCTTACCACATACCCAGGGTCTCGGCACAGCAGTCGGAGTCAAGCTTCGACCAACGGTTCACTCTTACACAACAGTCATCTGCAACTCATCTTGTAATTCATATCACATGCAGATTTAGCCAAAAGTTCCGTTCACTTCTCGCTGGGAAATGTCCGCCCTGTCGCAAACTCACAGCGTGGCAAAATGCGGTGCAACCAGCAGGTCTATTTTCGTCGCCTTTTGGGGTACCACGAATACGGGTGTGATAATGTCACCTGCGGTTCGTATCATCCGCCCAGTCTCAAACTCTAAACGGGTAGCAAGGGCTTCGACATGTTCCATGGGTCATAAGTTGAACCGATCTGTTAGCGTGAAATAAAAGCCACCAGCGATGGCGTGGTGTTCAATGCAACCTTGGCATTTGGCTTTTCAGCTTATTTAGCGTTAGTAGTGTTACCGCCAATGAACGATGCACCAATGCTACCTCAAGGGTCTCGTGTTACCCACTAGGTTTCTCGGCAGTTGAACGTTGACTTACAAATATCGACTTCAAGGATAGACAAAGTTAGCTATTTGCGGGCGACGAACAACACAAAGCAGGGATCGATGTGGTTCAAAGAAATTCTATTAGGACGTAGTGTCGCTTGGTATATCCAGTTGCAGGATTAGTGTTTAAATATATACAAAATGAAATCATATGCTTATGATGTTCCCGCAATGTGTGCCTGTATTATATAATGCACATAGAAAAGATATTTCCCCATAAAGAATAGATTAGACTGTCACCTTGATGGTGCTTGCAACACTGGGAACACCAGCGTTGTTGAGAACGAAAAGCATCCAGTATCCTGGCAGGGCAATGCCAGAGTCGTTGGGGATCTTGAAAGAGTACTTGTTGGTACCAGCACCAGTCAAGGCCAAAGGAATGCGTCGTTGATCGGTGTTGACAGTGTGTGTAGCTGTGCCATAGCGGATAAGAGAGGCGCTCTTAATGGCGCTGTTGGCAGTAACAGTAATGGTGCTGCCAATCTTGGCAGTAGTAGCAGAAACAGCCGTGATCTTGGGGCGGGTAGCAAGGTTACCATTGCCATCAAGGAGGTACTGAGGAGTGTAGATCTGAGCGTCAAAGTGGTTGCTCTTGCAGCTACCGCAGAGACCACCGCCACCGTTGAAGACAGTAGCGTCTGGCAGCAGCAGAGACATACTGTGGTAGGTACGGGGAATGGTGTTGGGCTGTTGGTTCTTGAACTCGTGGGTAGTGGGGATGTACATCTCAGGGGTGAGCTGAGCGTTGGTGTCGGTGAAAGGGTTGGAGTAGGACTGGCCGCCGGTGATGAAGACGTTGCCATCGGGGAGAACAACGGAAGTGTGGAAGACACGGGCAAAGTTGCCAGCGCCGTTGTTTCCGACCTGATAAGTCTGGGCAATAGATCCAGGCTCAGCAATGGCAAGAACGTGGGCGTTGGCAGTAGCAGGGGCCTGCTGGTAGCTGGTAGCGCCTCCATAGGTGAAGATCTTTCCATCGAGAGCATCGTACATGACACAGTTGCCGTTCATGGAGTCAGGGTCGATGCGGCCGTTCTTTCGTCGTGTACCAGCAGCCTTGGTGTCACCTTGGGTTCCTCGGGTAGTGTAGTACCAGTTCATGGCTGTACTGGGACCGGCCTGGAAGACGCTTCCCTTCTTCCAGCCAAAGAGCCAAGCGTGGTTGTCGGACTTGTAGACACCCTCCTTATCCTTGGTAAGCATAGGTCCAACAAGACACTTGGGAAGAGAAGTCCAGGTTCGGGCCTTGGGGTCGTAGATCTCGCCGTTCTTGCCGCCACGGGGACCGCTCCATGAACCACCGATAGTGAAGACGCGGCCATCGGAAGTGGTAGCAGAAGATTGGTAACCACGAGCAATCTGCATGTCAGGACCGGGAACCCACTCGCCGTTAGGGTTGAGAATGGTAGTCTTCTTAGCATCGTTACCACCAGTCACGACAATCTGTCCCTCGCCGTCCATAGAGATACCAGGGCAGAACATGTCGTGCTTGTTGTTGGTGACATTACGGTTGGAGATAACGTTGGTCTTGGGGTCCCAGATGGAAGTAAGAGTGAAGCCACCACGAGGGTTGGTACCCTGGAAAGCATCGTAGCGGTAAGCAGACCAGATAACAACCTTTCCAGAGACAGGCTCGACAGCACCGGCAACGGGAATGACAGGGAAGTCAAGAGTAGGACCCCATTTTCCGACACCGTTCTTAGGAGGGCTGTACTTGAGAGCGTTGTAGACAATAAAGTCGGCAATAGCGATCCATGGATTGTTGCTGTCCA